CTTGGTCTCCCTCTCCATGCTAGTCAGAACATCTGCAACTTGGTCATTTCTCAACAAAACAGAAGATGTGCTTATGACAGTTATAGCAGGTTTCATAATGTTTCAGAAGCAAGAAATATCAGTAATATAGGTCAGAAGCAAACGTGAATTTGCTAATCCTAATTATGAGTCCTAATTTCTTCATGAAGCTCTGAACTGGAATTCTCTCTACTTAGGAAGGCAGATGCATGAAATCTCAGAATATGTACATCATCAGAATCATAATATCTACATTGTATTTTAAACATGAAAAATCTGACAATGCCTAAGTAATATGATGAGAGTCAGCAGAAACTTACCTTGCAGCTGGAAAAGATTCTGTGAACTGGAGGTTGATCCTGAACTCTGGTGATGTTCTGAGCAACTTCTTCTCGTACCCAGTAGGTTGGAAGTTTTCAATGTCTGAAACAGCCAAGGGGTGATGTTCTGACTTCTTTGAGATGGAGGTGGATGGAGAGTGTATAACAATATGAATACAAAAGTTAGGATAACTTCTAATATGTGAATCAGAAACTGTGTGGATGGTTTTAGTCAAGAAACACTTGAGAAAAATGGCGTTTGAATGCAAGGAATCAAAAGTTAACAAGTTTTGTATGTTGTGTTTACAATTTTTGGACTCTTGGAATTTTTGCAGGGGTTCAAGGTTTTTCTTTCTCAAAATTTCTGACCTCTTTACTGTTGCCAATGGCTCCCAATTTATAGGCAAAAATATTATAGCTTGGAGAAATAAAAAAATATAGCCATCATATGCTAGGTGTTTACGTATTCTTGAAGCAAGTTCAAACAAGTATGGTTCAAGGCACAAAGTAAGGTGGTTAACAACTTTTAGCCGTGCCTATGCTGGATTTGTAAGCAGGAATTAAGGAAAAGTAACTTCCAAAGCAAAAGTAACGCATGGGCCCATCATACTCTTGTACAAGAGTTTGCTTTTCCAAGACATCAATGATACTTTTATGCCACACGTGAGGAAATCCTTTGGACAAAAACTCAAAAGTGGTTGTGAGCATTAAATGAGCATTAAATGATGATGAGATTTATCAAATCAGAAATTCTGCAACGTGAGATTCTACACCATGGCTTAGTTCTGGATCAGAAGTTCTACTTCAGCGTAGCATCCAACCTCTGATCTTTGTATCTTTTGGCTCCAGCATGTTCTGAAGGAGCTCTCAGACTTTCTAGGAAGTTTGCAGCATGCTTCTTAACCTTTTTTGAATTACCCTGGCAAACTCTGACTGAAGCTTTTGTGAAAACTTGCCCAGAAGTTCTGACCAAACTCTGCCTTGAGAGTGTCCAGAATTTGCTGAGTGTTATGGTGATAATCTGGTCAGAAGTTCTGAATTTGTCATATTTCTTAAACAATTAGAAAAATTTCTAAGTATTTAGAATTTTGACTTTTTCCAAAGTAAATTGACTTTTGACTTTTTGACGAAACAAACTTCATATTTCAACATGTCTTGATGAAATATGATTCTTGAAACTTGGTTTTGGTCTAAAAGTCAAAGTTTGACCTTCCAGCGTGCAAATGACAATTTTGCCCTTGCAGATGACTTTCTTGAAAAATTGCAGTTCGAGGCTTGGAAGCAAACTTGAGGATCCAGGGTGATTCTTTGAGAAATGGGAGGAAAATTTTTTGGGTACAACACCTCCCATCGAATCCACCTGGATTGGTCCACATACATCAGAGTATATGGCTTCAAGAATAGCCTTCGATCTGCTTCCTGCATCCTTGCTGAAGTTATTCTTGTGTTTCTTCGTCTGCACACATTCCTCACATACCTCGTTTGGAATGTCGATTTTTGGAAATCCTGAAACCATATTTCTTCTCTTAAAATATCTGATGTCTCTGAAGTTGAGATGGCCTAGTCTATAATGCCATATTCATTCATCTTTGCTAGCTGCAGTCGAAAGACACTTGTGCTCCATCACATTTAGTTCAACCTTGAAGGTTCAATTCTGAGACATAGGAGCCTTCAAGATTAATCTCTCATTTGCATCAACGACTCTCATCATCTTATCTTCGATTGACACTTTATAATTCTTTTTGATCAACTGCCATATACTGAGCAAATTGCTCTTCATGCCTGGTATGTACAACACATTGTAGATTACTGACCTTTTTCCATCTTTCCTCATAATCATAACATCACCAATACCTTCAGCTGCTAGGGTATTGTCATTTGCAGATTTTACCATATTTTTTATTGAGGGCTTTATATTGACAAACCAGTCTTTCCTTTCAGACATATGTGATGAACATTCTGAATCCAAGTACCACTGGTCCTTGAATCTATCTTCATCTCTTGTTGTGACCATCAACATCATCTCTTCTTCTTCTTCTTCATGTTTTGCAAGCTCTGCATCACTTTCTTGATTATTTCATTTTTCTGGACAATCACTCGAATAGTGTCCATACTTCTGACAATTGTAACATTGAATGTGACTCTTATCAGGTTTTTGACCACCACCTCTTCCTCTATTTGCAACACCACCTATTTGGTTGCCTTGGTATGGTCTTCTTTGATTCAACATGTTTTCTTCGATCTGGTTTCCTCTACCATTCGATTTGTTGTAGCCACCTCTACCTCTATCGAAACACTTTCCTTTGCCTTTGGTTTCTTTTGCTGAATATGCCTGCAAGGCCACATCACTTTTCGATTTGCCTGCAACTCTTTCATTCATTCTTTGTTCATGAGATTCAAGCGTCCCTTGAAGCTCTTCCTTTGTCAATTTCGACAAGTCTTTCCCCTCTTTTATCGCCACCACTATGTGGTCGAACTTAGGAGCTAAAGATCTCAAGATCTTCGAAACAACAACTCTTGTTGTTAACGCTTCTCCATATATCTTGATTTGATTTACTAGTTTTGTAACTCTAATGAAGAAATCAGATATGTTTTCATTGTCTTCCATTTGAAGCAGTTCATACGTCCTTTTGTGAGTTTGTAACCTCACTTCTTTCACCTTCTCAGCGCCTCCAAAAGATTTCTCAAGAATTTCCCAAGCTTCTTTTGCAGATTCTGAATCACTATCGAAATTGTCTGGGCTGACACATTGATGAATTATAAATAATGCTTTATAACCCAGCTTCTCAGATTTTGTGTATTTCTTCTTTTCTTCTTCTGAAGCATTTTCTCCAAGCATTTCGACTCCATCTTTTACAAGGTCCCAAAGACCTTGACACTTGAATAAGACTTTCATTTGTTTGCATCAATTCTCATAGTTGTCAACTTTCAGAATTGGTAGCGTTGCTGGATAGTTTGCATTCCCATAACTTATCATCGTGAATTCTTCAATCGTTCTTGATTGATACTTCCCTTGAATCGAAACAAAAGCTCTGATACCAGATGTTGGAAATCCACCAAAAGACTATGATGAATTTCTACCACAATGACGATTAATTATGAGAAAAACAAAGAAAAGAAGACAAAACAATTAATTTCTGCAGAGTTTCTCTCTGCTTACAAACTGTGAAAACTTTATTATTCATTTTACAACTGCAAAATACTGTGAATGACTTGCTTGACTTGCTTACAAAAATAGGGGTTACTCCCTCTATTTACAACTGAGCTTATACCCTAAACCCAAAGCCTAAAATATCTTTTTGTTACTAAATCAAATCTAATTTATTCTAGACTTAAATCAAATCTATTTAAATCTAAAACAAATCAAATCTTTTCGACACATAGTTTCGACACACTAAATTACAATTTAACATAAAATAATACAATGATATTTATGATGTAGACTAAAGACAAAATCCAGATCATTGCCATTGGATATATCGCTGTAATCCAAATTTAACATGCATGTAACTATTTCAATACTTATTAATCTACAAATAAAAAATAGTGTACAATTCTACTCTTGTAAAATTATCAACAACAAAAAAAGAGAACAAAATTACTTTTTTCATATCACTACTCAAGTGTCTTGAATAAATCAGGGCAAACAAACCAACCAAAAGTAAAATGATGACAGTAGAGTTAATGAAAGAAAACCAACGAACTTGTAGATGTGATTTGAGGGTGAAGTAGAAATGGAGGAAGAAACAGAGGGAGAAGAAGATTGAAGAGTGGTGAATAGGGGAAGAAGGAGAATGGGGTGATTGAATTTATCCATAGATGCAAAAGGTGACGATGTTTTTATAGACGATTGGAAAGAGTACAGAGGAATTGGAAAGGTTTCCAAAGATATAACATGAATGATGTGTATTATAAAAATTTATTCTAATATGTGGAACAGCGAAAAAATAATGGTATGCAGTAAATACAATATAATAAATTAGAATTTTAGGATAATTAATAGTTATATGTTGTAATTACTTTTAAGTATGAAAAACATTATTTAAATTGATTTTGTTAGAATCATAAAGTAGTTATGATGGGAATACGTTTTAATATATTAAAGTAGATAGATAATTAATCCTAAAAACAGATATGTGGATTTGATATGTTAAGTTAGCGGCAAGCACGGAGGCACAAGTTATCAATTGACATCTGCACTTGATATGTTAAGTACTTTGACTTTTTTCTTTTTTTACTCTTTTGTCGTATATTCAATTCCACTTTCTGATTATAGTATTGAAGAATTAATTAATGATTCCACACCTTCGTCATGCATGACGTTTTTTACTTTAGTTGTCGTGTCGTGCTTCATCGTTACTCCTATCATATGAATCTGAACTTTGACAAAATGAGTACTACTTTTTCTGAGTATTGTATTTATTTTACGGTCATTGAAAAATAAACGTAATCCTCATGACAGCAACAACTTTTCTTTAAGTCAAATTAACCTGTTATTCATTCATATAAGATTACATTGACGATAATCTGAATAGTATTTTTTACAAGAAAATATTAAAAAATATATATATATTGATCTATTCTTCAATTAAATTTCTCAAAACTAATTATTTTAAAGTATAAAGAAATGAGGAAGAATGTGATAGAATAAAGTGGTAAAACTCATACTGTTTTAGCACTTGTATGAAGTTGAACTAAGGAAGCATAAAATCCATCTTTCACATTAATAAGTGTTTCGTGCCTTCCTTTTTCTACTATAACACCATTCTTGACAACAGCAATAACATCTGCATTTTTAATTGTAGACAAACGATGTGCCACAACCACAGTGGTTCTATTCACCATTACTTTATCCAATGCATCTTGAACAACTCTCTCTGACTCAGCGTCCAATGCACTAGTGGCCTCATCAAGTAACAATATCTTTGGACTTTTGATTATAGCACGTGCAATGGCCACCCTTTGTTTCTGTCCACCTGATAATTGAGTTCCCCTCTCTCCCACTATTGTATCATAACCCTTTTAAAGTCAAAATATTCCACCAAAATGACATAATGTTAATAAGGACTAAAGCAAAAGCATAAAAAAAATGATATTTTCGTAGGGAACATTAATTCTGTACCTGCTGTAAGCCACTGATGAATCTATGAGCGTTGGCTAATTCAGAGGCAGCTACGATTTCTGCTTCAGTTGCATTTCCACCTTTTCCATAAGCAATATTAGCACGTATAGTGTGATTGAATAATACTGGCTCTTGGCTTACCAGACCCATTTGCTGCCTTAACCACTTAAGTTGTAACTGACGAATTTCTATCCCGTCAAGTGTAATGACACCTGAATCAGGATCATAAAATCTTTGCAACAAAGAAATCACTGTTGATTTCCCGCTTCCACTTTCACCAACAAGTGCTACTGTCTGTGAAAAACAATTTTTTGACATTGTAAGTAACCATTAGTTGTTTTCTACAAAGTGAGTTCTCAAATAAAACACAAGTAAACCATCACTTACCTTGCCAGAATGGATGGTTAAGTTGAGGTCTCGGAAAATCTGAATATCAGGCCTAGATGGATACTTGAAGCTTATATGACGAAGTTCAATTTCGCCTTTAACGTTGTCTAGAGTGGTACCGGATTCATCACTTGGATCTATCTTAGATTTCTTATCAATCATTCCAAATATCGAAGCAGTAGCTGATTTTGCTTTACTGGAGTCAGGAGCAAAGGAACTTGACTGAGAAACACCAAGAGCCGCCATAGTTAATGCAAAGAAAACCTGCAAAACAAGAAAATAACATTCGTTTTTAAGAGACTTGATTTGATCACAATGAAATGTTACAACTAGTAGGAAAGGTTTAGTACCCGGAAAACATCTGAAAATGTTGCGTCCCCAGCTTTCACAAGTCTAGCTCCTGCGTAGAAACTCGTTGCATAGACACAAAACAATAAGAAAAATGAAACTCCAAAACCTGTTCCACTGATTATCCCTTCCCTTATTCCTGTTTTCATGGGACCTTCACATTTCTTTCTATATAGTTCCATAACCTTATCTTCGGCACAAAAAGATGCCACAGTTCTTATACTTCCAACTGCATCATTTGCAACTTGACTAGCCTCCTCGTACATCATCTGCAACAAATTCAATTCCCATTATTATTACTAGTAAAATAAGCTAGTTTCTTATTAGTGCGTATGCAATTACTAATTACTATAAATGTCATAAAATAACTCACCTTTGCATCTGCGCTGAATCCCTTCATGAATTTCATTTGAACGTATCCGTTTAATCCAATCAGAGGAATCAAGACAAGAATAATCAATGCGAGCTGCCAACTCGCAACAAAAGCAATAATCAAACCAGCCAATGCAGTAGCCAAATTCTGAACCAACAATCCTAATGCATCACCAACAAGCGCACGGACAGAAGCAGCGTCTGCTGAAAGCCTTGCACCAACTGCGCCGCTAGAGTTTTCAGGCTCATCGAACCAACCAACCTCCATGCTCACCACCTTCTCAAAACATATTAGCCTGATACGTTCGATTAACTTGCATCCAGCCACGGAGAAAAAATAACCACGTGCTGGAATCACCACCAATGATGCAAAACCAAGGAGCATAAACATTAATGCCCAATACTTGGAATCCTTTTTCATCTCATCAAACGGTTCATAAAATGTTTTGATGATGCTAGAAATCAGAATGCCGAATATTGGAAGTATGACACCATTTCCTATGGCAGCTAAACATCCAAATAGTAAAACTGGAATCTCTGGCTTGTTGAGGGAAGCAAGGCGACTTAGTGGAATTTCTTGTGCTTTTTCTTTGGTTGGTAAATCTTCAATTTCAGGATCAGTGACATTAACACCTGTTGGTAAACCGAATGAAACTGAAAATGAATGGCGACTGCTATTCCCTAAAGATGATCCCCTACTGATAGATCTTTGAAGCGACTTCTTTTGACTCGAACGTCTAAAGGATTCTGCAGAAAGCTCTCTCTTGCCATTATTATCTGTACTTTCGTCTGATTCTCTATTTACTTCTTGTAAGCGTATGAGTTGTGAATAAGCTCCTTCAGGATCCTTTAGTAATTCTGAGTGTGTGCCTGATCAATGTACAAATAAAAGAATATATATAAACAAGATTCTGATAATTTGAATTATACTCTATGCATGAAAACTGAATATTTGTTGTACCTTTCTCAACCATTTTCCCTCTATGGATTACAGCAATCATGTCAGCATTCCTAATTGTGCTCAAGCGATGTGCAACCACAATCGTGGTTCTGTTGACCATGATCCTATCTAGAGCCTCTTGAACTACTCTTTCAGATTCTGCATCAAGTGCACTTGTAGCTTCATCTAGAAGAAGAATTCTTGGATTCTTAAGGATTGCTCTTGCGATGGCAATGCGCTGCTTCTGTCCACCAGAGAGCTGGGTTCCATGGTCACCAACCATTGTATCCAATCCCTGGATTCAAAAATCAATTAGTATTAACTTTGAAATTGAAGTACTAAACTAATGTTATTTATTAGAGATAAAGTTAGTTAGTATCCTTATAATTTTTTCCATTTTCATATGGACTAGTATGTATAGATAAACTGTTTTGAATTCATTATTGGTCAATCGGATAAAGTTATCAATAAATGAGATATTTTAGAAATATGGTATGAGAGTTTGGTCAGAATCTAAAACCTGTGGCAATTTATCAATGAATTTGGCAGCATTTGCAAGTTCAGACGCAGATCTTATCTCTTCAATTGTGGCTCCATCTTTACCATAAGCAATGTTGTCCTTAATGCTGGACGAAAACAGCACTGGCTCCTGGCTGACAAGACCAATTTTCCCTCTGATCCATCTGAGCTGAAATTCTTTCATGTTAATGCCATCAATAAGAACTTCACCTGCCTGTGGATCATAGAATCTTTCTACCAAACTGATAACGGTGGACTTTCCACTTCCACTTTGTCCAACTAATGCCGCAGTTGTACCACTCGGTATATGAAGAGAGAATCCATTGAATATCAGTTCTTCAGGTCTTGCAGGATAACTAAAATAAACTTCCTTTAACTCTACTTCACCTTGAATATCTTCTAATGTTTTTCCATTTGGATCATAAGCATCTATCTCTGGCTTCCTCTTAATTGTCTCAAACATTTTATAAGCCGCCGCCTGACCTGCCGCAAAAGCACTCAGACTTGGTGATGCCTGTCCTAGAGACCTACAAAAAAAATACATATCCAACATAAGAAAATTTCAAACTTCCTTGACTAGAAAAGAAACATACAAATGATGGTTACTTACATGGAAGCAGTTAACACGGCGATAATCACATTAATCACGGTGCCACCATTATATCCTTTTTCCATTATCATCTTTGCACCAAACCATACAGCTAAAGCATAACCACAGAAAATAACAAACATAACTGTGCCTAGGCCTACTCCAGCTATAGTACCTTCAAAAACTCCTGATTTGTAAGCATCTACAAGAAATACTCTATAATTAGACACTGCTTGCTTTTCGCCAGTAAAGGACGCAACCTGAACAAATACACAAGACAAGTAGTTAGAAAACATGTTTATCAATTTTGACGGCAGAACCAGGTACAACTCATAAGTTATAGAATTTGTCAAATATCTAACAACATACAGTTCTTATTGATCCAATTGTTTGTTCAACAACATGTGCAGCTTTTGCATAAGCGGTTTGACCTTTAGAAGCCATCTTGCCTATAATAACAGCCATGACAGCACCTGACACAGCAAGAAGCGGAAGAGTCGACATCATAACAAGAGTAAGAAGCCACCCTTTGATAAATGCTATCACAAAACCACCAATGAATGTTGCTATCAGCTGCAGAAATTTCCCAACCTATTTTCTCAAACACAAAATTAAACCTTCATTTAGTAAATTAAATTCAAACTATGTAACCTTTTACTCCAAAATCTTAATCTACATTCAACTCCAAAATTCTTACCTTCTCACCCATTGCATCTTGAATTAGAACAGTATCACCAGACATTCTCCCTACAACTTCTCCTGTGTTTGTTTCTTTATCAAAGAAAGCAACATCTTGTCTTAATATTGTTTTCAAATACAATCCTCTAATTCTCGCCGCTTGTCTTTCTCCGGTAACCATCCAACAACTCACCTCTGAAAACAGAAACACACAAAAACAATTCACAAGTCTAGTATTTTATCTTAAAAAAATATCATCTTTGGACCTCCAGACTAGACCGCCTAATCTAGTTTGAAAACACCGATCACCACTGGACCAACTAACTATTGGTAAAATATCATCTTAATTATAAAATATATATACTTACGGAAAAATGCTGCCACCCCACATCCTACTGCCAAATATATAAATTTCAGAGATACCTGTAAGAAATTTCATCACCAAAATAAAGAAAAAACTGTGATTAATGAATTCATTAATTATTGATATAATTTTGTGCATGGTTTTTATTTTACCTTGGACACTTGTTCAACAACATCATCTGTGTTAGATTGGTTACTACCGAAACTATTAATCATTTGACCAAACAACAAAGTCATGAGAGGTAAACCCAAACCGTTTCCAACAGCACCGATAGTTCCAACCACCATTAATAAAATGTCAGTAGAATCTGCAAAAGTGAACAACTTGTGAAACGAAACTGTCTCTTGTTTTTCTTTTTCTTTCTCCTGTGTACTTGTTTCTCTACCATTATTCTCCGACGTTGTTGCTTCATCACGCTGCTCATGATTATTTCCTAACTCATCACTACCATTCTCTACTTCCATTCAGATTAATCTCTTGTAATCAGCTTCTCAAACTATGAAAAAACATAATCAATAATACAAAAATTAGCCTCTTAATTAGTAAAAGGAGAAGTGGTTTTTAGAGGTGATAAAGTTTGAGGAGAGAGTTGTCATTTGAAAAATTAAGCAAAGGTTTCTTTCATTAAATGTGAATAGAAGTTGGGAGGCTTAGAAAACGTGAAGGAAGAAAAAAGTTGATTTGATAACTACTAATAAAATGGTTCTTATTAGTAGTGGAATTATAAAAAAAAAAAGCAACAAATGTGAACAAGAACTTTTATCAAAATAAATGTGAAAACAAAAATAGGTGTTTCAAATTTGAATCAAAGGATCTAGACAAGAAAATTAGGCTGCTAACATGTTGTTTTGTCACTGTCTCCAAAAATGCTTCATTTATTTTTCAAAAGTGAGGTAAAGAAAAAGATGATAAAGTTAAATAAACAGTTAAGACTAGCAGTTTTGTGAAACTGGAATCCATGAAAGATTAAAATAAAAAAAATAGAAATGGATGAATCGTGAATATGAATGAACATACCTGTGTGGGAGACACAGAAAGAAGGAAAGAACAAGAGGTGGTGGGTGAAATAATTTGAATGATGGGTTGACAAAAAGAGTAGGTAACTTAGATCTGAATTTATAGGATTATATAATGAAATATGTACGTAGTATAGTTGAATATATGTTATGGTTGATTTGATTTAGTGGGGGATGTATATAATATTCTATGGTAGTAGTCAAATATTATGTTTGACTGTTATTATTGCTTAAAGCGCAAGTATCTAATTCTTTGGTGGTAGGAGACTACTAACCGGGGCATTAATATCGTGGAAATGGGTATCTTCAACCGTCATGGATGACTTGTATAGTTCTATTGGTATTTTATATCAAAAAAGATTGATTTCTTATTGTAAATCATTTTACTGTGTGTGTATACTCTCTGTTTTGCACACCTTTATACATTCGTTTGTAAACTTCATATTATTTTTAAAAGAATAACTTGTAACTTGCTTATTTCATCCTATCAAAATTCTTATGCTTTAAATTATATATGTGATAGTTCTATTACAACGATGCTTAATTAATACAATTTTTTTTTTATAATAATAATCTTCACCTGTATTCTAAGATAAGGTTGGCAATAGTAGGATTTGAATATCATATTATAGTATTTGTTCATATATTTATAATTTGAAAAGATTCTCATTCTCGAGTACATATATGAGAATTTTCATTTTCAAGCATATATATATATATATATATATATATATATATATATATATATATATATATATATATATATATATATATATATATGTAAATACCAACTTTTATACACGTACTTGTATTTCATGATTATTTAAGTACTCTTATCTGTATTCACATATTAATTAAAAAATATCATATTATTTTAAAATTTTAAAAAAATTATTAAAAAATTCAAAAATCTAACTCTTTAAGTATGAAAGAAATCAACACTTATATTTAATTGTGTAATAATTAAAAAATTAAATAATAAAAATATATTATTTTTAAAATAATATTTTTAATTCTTTGTTGTGAATATGACAAGATTCAATTCTAATCAACACTTTAATATGTGAGGACAAAAAATAGTAACAGCCAAAAATAAGGAAAGAAAATGTGAAAGTAGTCTGATCAAATGATCTACGTGTCTAGGAGAGAGAGCAATTCTCTAATTCACTATATTCAGAAAGTTATTACAAGAGATTACAAATGAGTTATAAGAAAATATGCTTCGTCTTCAGAGTTTCCAAAAACAAACCCTTAAGGCGCCCAAGAACAAATTCCTATTTTCTACGGTACCAAATATTTTCCAACCTCTCCAATTCCAATTTTCTAAAAGAACAAACTCCTATTTTCTAAAAAAAATCCCTTGATTTCTAAACCCTTATTTTTCCCTTTTGCTATAAAGCTCTAAAGTTGTCCAACTGTAATAACATAAAAGATACATATTTATAATTGCTAAAATCTAACATATCCATAACAAAATCCAAAACAAAACTCATCAATTATTATAATAAAATATTATAAATATTGTTGTACCCCAAAATTTACCCTCTCATTTCTCAAGAATTTTCTCACAAGATCTTCCATGGCTCAAGTTTGCAGCACTAATACATCAATTTAGGTTTGGATTGACACAAGGGCAAAATGGTCAAATACACACTGAAAAAAAGTCAAACTTTGACATTTTTTAATCAAAATCAAGTTTCAAGAATCACATTTCATCAAGACATATTAGAATATGAAGTTGGTTCACCAAAAATATCAAAAGTCAAAATTACTTTGGAAAAGTCAAAGTTTTAAACACTTTGAAATTTTTCTAAAAGTTAAGAAAGTATGATAAGTTTAGAATTTCTGGCCAGATTTTCATCATGATGCAAGTTGATTCAGGAAGAACTTCTGACACAAGAGTTTAAGATCTCAATGAGATCTAAAATATTACAGAACATAACTTCTCCTAGAAATGCTAGGATTTCAAGTTATAAATCCTTGAAGGCACGTCCATGAAACTAAAACACTTAGTAATTTCTGAACATTTCCAAGTCAGAATTTGAGTAGAACTTCTGGGCCAGTTTTCACGTAGGTACAATCAGAGTTTGCAAATATGATTCAAAGAGGGATTACAAAGCATATTACAAGCTTTCAGAAAAGTCCGAGAACTCCTTCAGATCATGCTGGAGCAGGGAGATTCAAAGATCAGAAGTTGGACATTTGTTCTTAATCTAAGTTGCGTTTATACTGAACTTCTGATCCAGTTTCAAGCTATGCTACATAATCTCATGTTGCAGGCCTTCTTTCTTGTTAAATCTCATCATCATTTAATGCCCACACCAACTTTTGAGTACTTATCCCAGTGTTTAAGCCTTTATCCAAAAGATCTTCCCACGTGTGGCATGAAAGTATCACTGTTGTCCTTGAAAAGCAAACTTTTGTACAAAGTTTATTTTGAACCCATACTTTACTTTGCTTCTGAGTGTACTTCCCTATAAATCATGTCTACAAACTCAGATTAGGCGTATTAAAGCTGCTAACCCATACCTTGCCTTGAAACATGCTTGTCTAAATTTGCTTCAAAAACAAGTCAACGAGCCATAACACGTGATGGCTGTACTCCTGACTTCTCCAAGTTTCTAAATCCTTTATCTATAAATTAAACTTCATTTTCAAACTTAAAAAAGGATGGGAGATTGAGAGAAAAATCCCTGAAACCTTGCTGAAAATCCCCAAGAACCTGAAACTACAACCCAAACATAAAACCTGCTAGTTTTTAGTTTTTGCATCCAAACTCTAATTTTACTTGTGCATTTTTTTGACCAAATCATCCACATAGTTTCTGATATACACGTAGAAGCCTTCCCAACTTCTATTTTCAAACTGTAATACAGTCTTCACCACTCTCCATTTCAAAAAATCAAAACTTTGCATCTTGACTGCTCCAGAATATTCCAACCATCCATAGCTCAAGTCAAGGGTTGTTTTAGCTTTCTGAGAACTTGAGGAAGTTGACCAGAACATCACAGCAATCTGAACCAGGCTCTAACTCACAGAATAATTTCCAGCTGCAAGGTAAGTTTCTTCTGACTTTCATCTCATTACATATGCATTGTATGCTTGCAATTTCAAAGACATGATGTAGATATCATGGCTCTGAATCTGTATATATTTATAGATTTCATTTATATGGCCTAATTAGAGAGAATTTCAGATCAAAACTTCTTGAGGAAATTAGGGTTCAGAATTAGGATTAGCAAAATTCATGCTTACTTCTGGTTTACAGTTTTGATGCTTTGTATTTCTGAAACCATGATGAAATTTTCCATAACTGCTATGTTTGTATTTTTTATGAGAAATAACTAAGTTGCAGATGCTATGGTTGGCGTAAAGAAGGAGATGAAGTCCATCATCAGAACTTACTTTGTAATATATGCTTATGTTTTTGCTTTTAATACCGGATGTACATTCACCCCAGTGGTAGAGAGCGTGCGCATAAGGCATTAGTGTTAAGGGTCCTGGGTTCTAGCCCTAGAAACATCTTTTTATGTTTATTTCTTGACATTTTTACCCCATTATTTGTCAAATAATATTCCTGGATCAGAATTTATAGATAAACCCCTCCCAGTTGTTTGTCAAAATAGTACTCCTGGACCAGAACTTCTAGCCAGTCTCATCCAATAACATTGTCATCTCACTTATCCATTAACAGAACTTCTAGCCTCCCAGTAACACTAGAACTTCTAGGTTTCCACCTGCATCAGAACTTCTAGGCTTTTCCAATAATCAGAACTTCTAGGCTCTTTCAACAATCAGAACTTCTAGGTTTTCCTTTGCTTCCCGCAACCCCAAAACTTTGGTGTGTCTGGATCTAGAACTTCTGCCTTTCCCCATTTTCTGCTAACATTTTATTTCTAATGTGCAGCGTGCTAGAGTCAGAACTTCTGCTCTCTCTTATCTCTATGCTTTCAGCAACACGCTGACTCTAACTCTTATTCTCTTATTATTTTTATCATCACTTTTATTTTCATTAATCAAAAATACCAAAAATACTTTATATTCATATACTTTACTTTATTTATTTTAAAATAAAAAGACTAAAAACATTTCCTTAAGAAAATTTATTTCTTCTCTTAAAAAAAACAAAGAAAATCTATTTTACATTTCAATTCTTGTATATTATTTCAATATGGTTGTAATAGATAATTATAACTTTAATTTCTTGCAACCCCTATTTGTAAATTTGTATACCCCATTCCCTAAATGATTGTAATAGCGTAGAATATTTACTTTTCGTAATTTATCGCTTTCATATAAATGCTAGTAAAGTAGGATTTGTATGGGAAGATAAAATCAATCTTAGAAAACACTAATTCAAGATAAACCAAGCATGAAATATAAACACTTGCACACTTGCATATCTAAGGTTAACTCCACTTGTTGCCTTATGAAAAATGGTCATGTTA